CTTGTTCAGTCCTGATGTAGTCCTGGTTTACTCCTGCTTTAGTTTTGATTTAGTCCTGGTTTAGTCCTGGTGTAGTCTTGGTTTGGTCTTGGTTTGGATCTTGTTTAGTGCTGGTTTGGCCATGGTTTAGTTCTGTTTTGGTGCTGGTTTAGTCCTTGTTCAGTCCTGATGTAGTCCTGGTTTACTCCTGCTTTAGTTTTGGTTTAGTCCTGGTTTACTCCTGCTTTAGTCCTGGTTTGATCCTTGTTTCTGAGTCTATATTATGTAAATTTTGATGCAGATTTTGTTCTTTTCCTCTTCCTGTGTGTGACTTCCTGTTTTGGTTTTGTGTTTTGGAGAGACAAAGATAATGGTTCTGTTTCTCCCTCGGGCCAGTGGATTTTTGATCATGTGAAGTGCGGCGTTAATGGTTTTTCCCTTTTGCTGTTGGAGGTTTTGGAGTAAATATTGGCGCGTGTGTGAGCTGTGGGTGCGTTTGCTCGTACGGGGGAGTGGGTTTGGTAACTGGAGGAAAAAAGAAAATAAGAAATAAATCAGATTTTTAGCGTTTTTCAAAAAATTGGTGTCAGGAAAAATATATAAACCCTTTTCTAACGCATTCAGATCAGTTTTAGTTAGTCCTGGTTTATTCCTCATTTTGTCCTGGCCTGGTCCTGGTTTAGTTTTGGTTTAGTCCTGGTTTAGTCTTGTTTTATTTTTGGTCCTGGTTTAGTCCTGGTTTGGTTCTGTCTTAGTTAGGTTTAGTCCTAGTTTAGTCCTAGTTTAGTCCTGTTTTGGTACTGGTATAGTCTTGGTTTAGTCCTGGTTCGGTTCTGGTTTAGTTCTGAATTGGCCCTTGTTCAGTCCTGGTTTAGTTCTGGTGTAGTTTTGGTTCGACCCTGGTTTGGTCCTTGTTTAACCCTGGTTTAGTTCTAGTTTAGTCCTGTTTTGGTACTGGTTTAGTCTTGGTTTGATCCTGGTTTAGTCCTGGTTTTGTTCTAGTTTAGTCCTGGTTTGGTTCTAATTTAGTCCTGGTTTGGTCCTGATTTGGTTCTAATTTTGTCCTGGTTTAGTCCTGGTTTGATTCTGGTTTGGTCCTGATCTCATCATGGTTTAGTCCTGTTTTGGTTCTCATTTAGTTCTGGTTTGGTTCTAGTTTAGTCTTGGTTTAGTCCAGGTTTAGTCCTGGTCTCAACCTGCTTT